TTTAAGACATAGTTCCATGTTTCTGGTTTAAAGGTGAACCAGCTTTAATTAGATGGTACGATGGGATTAGTTGCTGCAGCCTCGGTAATGCCCAAATATTTAATCATAATAATAATAATATTAGTAATACACAAATATTATATCATGGAATCATCCTAGTCTAAGGCCATTGGATTACATGTCCCAAATAATCCAAAAAGGACAACAGGAGCCAAATAGTATCAGGAGGAGCATTATAAAAGCCATGAAAAACACAATTCCTGAAACGGAGGATTTGACCCATTTCCGTCTCTCTTCTCACTTTTTTACCACTATTTTTTAATCTCCTTTCTGATGCAGCAGGGTCTAAGCCCAGTGGTCATCCTGTGGACCAACATGGCTCCTATGTGTTTGTTATTATTGTATTTGCTACCTTCCAAACTGTTTGATTCTCTGATCTGTCGTTAAAGAATTCGACAACTTTGTAAAGTCATTTGGGTCCAACTGCTGCTATGATTTAAGTAAAATAAATGTAATTGAATCTGTTCTTTGAGTTGCAGTGTTGGCTGAGTGGTTAGCACTCTCGCTTCTCAGCAAGAAGGTCCTGGGTTTGAATCCTGGTCGGAACTCTGAGTAGAGATTGCATGTTCTCCCCGTGTCTGCGTAGGTTACCTCCAAGTACTCCGGTTTACCCTACCACTAAAAACATGTCCAATAGGTCTGTGCCTCCTGTACTGGCCCCTCCCATCTCTGTGTGGAGTCAGAGACTAATGTAACAACTGTAAAGGTCTTTGACTCTGGTCTGAGAAAGGCGCTTTATAAATAAAAGATTATGAATTGTGCTATATAAATAAAGTCGCCTTGCCATTTTGTGATACGGGTAATCGATGCACTCACTCCTGATCTCTCACTCTCGCAGTATGAATGATTGTCTGTAATGGATAAATATAGTTTCTGAGCATATGCAGCGGTAAGCAGAGTCACTCGGGCACTTAGCAGCTGAACCTTCAAACTATGTGAAAGCCAAGAGGACTGTCGTCAGACTGAGACTTTACCTCACGCAGAATAGAAAACCAAAAAGCCAGCAATGCAAATTAACACCTTCTGAGTTGAGAAATTATTTTGGCACAGCCTTTTGGGAGTTGTCTTTAAGAGTGGATGTCCTTCCGCTGGCAACAAAAAACCAAACTGGAATATGTCATAAGCGTGAGGTAAGTTTCCATGTTTAAAGCTGGGGTACGCAACTCTCACACAACAACATCTAAAATCGGTGGAACTACTTCCTCGCTCTGAAAACAGTTTGCTTCTATCACTATTTTTCACATGCATTTTTTATCTTTAGATCAGGTTTTTCAGACCAGCCCTCACTCAGCCAATCAGCTCTCAGTATGCAAAATATATCACAATTATAACAAGATATTGTGGTCACAAAACACATGTTACTTAAACAAGACTCTTTCTCTTGATGGACAAACAATATGTATCTATGAAACACCAATGAAAAGTTAGGGGCTCCAGCTTTAACACACACATGATACTATAAAACCGACCCAGTCTAGCAAACCAAGCTTCAGAAGCCTGTGAAAACTGCTTCTGCGCCCCCCTCTCACTTGATGACACACATCCTTTGCCGTTTGCCAATTTATATTAAAATTAACCATGAGTCACTGAAATGAGCTTCGGGACAGAGAAATACGAGCCACTGTTAAGACATGAAGACACTCAAAGAAGAACCACGTCATCGCAGATCCGGCGAAGTGTTGACAAACCTTTTACCAACACGATTCTGCCTCAACTTTATTTCACTCGCTAAAATGTCCAAGAACAGAGTCAAAGCAGGTGGAAGAGATTTCCCCTCCATATTGGTTACCCGGCAAAACGCTGCTCTGCTATATTTATGGTTGATATCAGCTCCTTGATCCATCATGGCCCCAGAGAGGAGCCGGGTTCTGTTTCTCATGTCCTTCAGAGCAGCCAAGTCACTCGTCGGAGCATTTTGAAGCCGCATACAAGACATTGCATGGAGAAGGACACGATTGATAACATTATACTATAAAGAACACATAATATAACCAGTATTTTCATCGATATTATTAGACAGGGCCGTTCTAGCCTTCAGGGGGCCCCAAGCAAATTGTCTGTCAAAGTGGGATAACGTGTTCAATTTTTGTAACGGAGAGAAAATCAAAGCAAGGTGGCTCACTCATCATCTGTACGTCAGTTAGCAGGTATTCCGATGTTTCGTTCTTCATCCAAAGAATTTTCTCAAGGAAATTAATTAGGATTGAGAACGAAACGTCGGAGAATCTTCTCTTTGAAGTACAGATGATGGTTGTTTTTAATAATCCCTGTACGACTGAGAGCTTAACAAAACAGAGAATGATTTAGTTTTTCTAACATTTTGATCGATAAATGAATAGAAAGATCGCAAGTACCGTGATAGCTGTTACTATGAAGCGCACCTGTAGGCCTGTAGAAACCGCACCAGCAGAAATGAAACAGAAAGTACATTTGTGAACATAGAAACTGCTGGTTTTTATGTGGTAAATATCCAACTCCAACAAATACGCTCAGGTGGATTTAAAGCCAATATATTTCCTACTCATTTTAGCAATTTTACTCAACACGAATGAACGCCAATAGAGGAGCTGAAACCTTAGCATGCAGGAGACAAAAGGTTAGCATGCTGTGGGGACCGGTAAATCCAACCTATTTTGACGATAATAATGTGCGTCCTAGTCCTAATAAAACTGCTCCTACTAAAGCACTAAAGCTGTAAAGGACGCAGGGTTCAAAGGCAAGACAAAAGTAGGTTTTGAGGCCAATTGTGTCAGAGCGCCCCCCGGAGGCTAACGGCCCACAGCACACCACAGGAAGCTGTGGATGGTTGTCCAGAGCTAATGACAGCACATAGCCTTGGGAGGATTTGTTTTATGTGAGATGTGTTTTAGCAATAATTTTGACTCCAGATTAAGATTTTCTAGCGATTGGAGGCACATTAATATTGTGAAATTAGATCATATTTTCCAATCCCAACAGAAAAGCTAAGAGATGCTAAGGTAAGCATGCTAACGGTGTTTCTTGTGTCGACCAGCAAAGTCTTTGCATAACAATGTTCGGAATCAGACAAAAATCAGCTTTATTTACACATGAGCAAATTTGTTTTGCTCCGTCTGTCGTCCGTCGGTTGTTGAATGGTAACAACATGAAAACCTGAATCTTAAAGCCCACTGCGGCCTCTCTATGCACAGATTAACATTCTTTTTAACAATTACAGAAATACATTTCTGCCAAATATAATCATTTGGAGATTTTGATTCAGTTGACGACCTTTGGGCGCACCCTGCACTTTGGGAACCACTGCTCTAGACTAATAAGTGAGACGTTACTGATTATTATTAACAAACCACTCCTGACATGTTATTTCATGCTGTCCCTTTCTGAACAGGGCAATGATATTAAGAAACGAGGCATATGCAGCAGAGATGTGGTTTGGAGGACAGTGGAGCAGAGCATTCAGAGAGTATTTTTAGGGAGATGTTTATTTGTAGCTGTGAAACCCAGCCGGGGTGTATATCTACCACTCCTTCTACTGCTGCATCTGTCCAGGTCCTTCAGACTGTCACAGGGAGACTCCAGCCCCGAGCCAACAGCAAAGATTTACTCATTTAAACAATGAATAAGAAAGTACAGCACTCAGAGAGAAGCCAGACACACACAAAACAGGGAGAAGATGATTAGCTTATATGAGGGATCTCAAGATGAACTCTTAAAACGTCATAAAGAACAAACAAAAATCCGGTGGAGAGTTTTCAGTCAGTAATTACAAAAAGTCAAAAAATGCCCATAAACCAGTTGTTGTTTTCTCTTATTGCTTGGGACTGGAGCCAATGTTTGCAAATAACCTAATAATTCATGATTAAAAAATATATTTACAAAACCAGCTCATTTGTAATTCTGAAGTGGATCCTACTCACACTTACCCTGCGGCGATTATAATCTTTTTCATTAAATGTTATTTTGATGTCCATTTAAGTAGAAGAAGAAGGAAAGGTTTCTACTGTGGCAAATAACAGGGTTTTCATCCAAACTTACTTTTTACTAAATTGGCTTTTTCACTATTTTAATGAAATTGTTCTCGAGTATTGCTTGAGTGGACATTGTTTTGGTAAATACATGTGGCTCTATATTATATCTAATAATTAAACTAAACATGATTTCATTTGTAATGGCCATACGATTCGATTGTTCTATATTTAGTACTATATTTAGTACTTCAGTTTAATTTAGCTTTAAATACTTTGCATTTAGGTCGACCGTTATGAACATTAACCAGCGACTCATGACCTCAGAATTAAACTTTGAAAATATGTATTTGAAATAAAGACATGAATCTACATAAAACACTTATATAGAAGTGTAAGAAATATGTAATATATGAATAACTCCACACTTTCCATGGTGACGTCATGACGTTCACCTGGTACGTCAGGTGGTACGTCATGCTGGTTTCGATGGTTTAGCGCTGAAATTACAATCAGCTCAGTTTATATTTGCTTTTCAACACACTTCATCTTGAGATAAGGGGAATTTTAAGACCATTACTAAAAAAACAAATATGATTACTATTAATAATAGTTTTTAATAATAATTCTAATCAGAGTCCAACATGGAGAGACGCTGTGGTTTTAACTACTTTATATTGTCATTGGGCATTTATTATTAGTAGAGCTACATTTTGATTTAAGTGAAGAGTGAGGAATGGGGAGGGGAGATTATATTTAGACAGCCTTCGCAAGGCAATCAGGGGGAACTGAAAGACAACACTGAGAAAGTTCCACAGCCTAAAATATCTGCCCAGCTCCACGGGACTGAAGGGCCAGGTGCAGCCTCAGCCTGGACCGGCCTGGACCGGCCTGGACCGGCCTGGACCGGCCTGGACTGAGAAACTCTCTGTACACACAGACACTGAGACTCGTGAATAAAAGTGTTAAAGTGATGTGCACCGGGACCGGCCCTACCTTCCGCTGCTGCTTCTCCCAGGCCGGGTCCAGCAGCAGGTCTCGGTCCCAGTCATCCTCTTGGGTCATGTAGGCCTCTTCCTGGGTGATCGTGTAGGAGTTGCTGTATGTCATTTGGGTTTCAATAGCCGTCATCTTGCTGCCTCTACAGGACCGCGGGTGTCCCCGGTTCAGACTAAAAAAGAATCAGCAACAGGAGACGGTCTCCACTGGTGCGAGGTGTGCGGAGGTGGTGCTCCCACTACCAGAAGACCCTGCGGCCGAGGCTCCTTTCCTGGTCAAAAGTGACACACGTGACCGCACCCCAACAAGTATGAGAGCCAACTGCTGGGCATCGTCTTGGAACCCTAAAAAGGTGCTAAAGGCGTGGTCCCCAGCGCGTGCAGGAGCGCAGAGGCCCTTGAGTGGGCGACAGAGCTGTCAATCACGCCCCCAACGTCGTAGACGCTTTATGGCCTCTGCACTGCACCTGTCGCTGTTAGTGAGCTCAACTGTAAAGTGGAAAGCCACTCATTCCACTACTATTCCACCGAAAATCACAATTAGTCCCATTAAAAGAGCAGATTAAATGCCATAATCCACTGCAATGTCTGGATGACACAGGATCAATAGATTAGCCTAACCCTAATCTACTAAATACATGTATCTTAAAATAAAAGAATACATGAGGCCAAGCTAATGAGGAAAACTTGTTTATTAATGTCTTACATGCAGGTCAAATATACCTCAGAAACAGATTAAATGCAATATTATAATTGATTTGTCATTCACAGTAACTAACAGTTGTCCTTGAAATGATCCCTTCCTTTAGGGACGATATCTCCAGACAGTGTCTTAACATTTTAATTACACAGCCATTTCAATTACATATGGCCTGTTTCATTACCTACATGGAGACAACTGAAATGATGGTACCATACTGTTTTTCATTCACAATACACAGTTACGCATTACAATGTACAGGCTATTATCGAGTGGTACCTGCTGGCGATAAGAGCAAAGGCTAAATTATGTTAAATAGAAACAAAAACACAAACAATTGCAGCATCTATCTTGAATGTATCACAAATGGAAATATGTTAATGAGGTATTTTCTACTGTAAACACTACTGCTGGTGTCTCTGTATCAGCAGTTTACTATTGTGCTATAAAAACACAATCAGGCATTATGAACACCGCCAGTGTTTTAGGTCCAGAGGAAAACTACTCCAACTACTTTAATCCCACCTGTAATCCACTACATCAGTGTTTGAGGAAAAGGCCTGTGCTTCTAAATTCAACGTCATTTCAGAAAGATTATAATCCTCTTCTTGTTGTACAATGCAGAAAATAATGTGTAGTAGCATTTTGGGTCTTCTTGTCAATATTAAAGCCAGGGTACGCAACTTTCAAACCACCAAAAATTCTAACATGTAAGAAAATCCATCTAACATGGAGACAACTCGCTCTAATCAGTTTGGTTTTTCACTGTTGCATCTTTAGATCAACATTTTCAGACAGAAAAAGGGATATAATAGGACCACCATCACTCAGCCAATCAGCTCGCAGCTCCCATAGTGACTCCCAAGGCTCCTTCACACTGCAATAATAAAATATCAGGTAATAATTGCTTGGTTTTTGAGTAGTTTCCATCTTAAATTTGCCGATGGGAGAAAGCCATTTAGCCTCATTTCAAGAACAGCTGCTTCATTTTCTCATTCAAAGAGATTCATTTCTTTTATATTTGTAAAACAAGATCATTTTGCTCATCCCAATTGCATCCCATCCATCTTGTTTAAAGGCAGTCAAAATGTGCTCAAATTAAACTACATTTTGCCAAAAATATGTACATTATGACAGATTTTTTAGTCCATATACAAGATTTTTACCTCAATAATAATAAACACAGCATTTGGTCTGATAATTTTACTTTGACAAGACTCTTTCGGTTGGAGAAAAACAAAATGTAGTATACAAGGATAACATTTTTGGTACCCCAGCTTTAAATGAGAAAAGAATTTTGAGCCAAACATTGTATAAAATGTAGCGGCTTCATGTAATCTCCAAATGACCTGCGGAAAAGTGGACAATCCCATGTAATCATTTAGAGTTAATCCATTCACATCTTTTTGATGATGTTTAGCCTAGGTGCTTCCCGTTGAGTAAATCTGGTTAAATCTACTGTTTGATATCCTTTTGCTTAAGTCAACTATTCTTAAAAATGCAAGGCAAGTATGATTTTTATTCTTTTAGACCCCAAGAGCAAAGACAACACTGACGACAAAGGGATCAATCATAACACGTTTGTTCATAGACATTCATAATACTCAAATCCTCGTTTTGTTTTTTTATTCAGCCGGCAGCGGTCATAATGCCTGATCGTGTACAGCTACTGGCCACATCGATTACAAAATGAATAATAATAATAAAAAAGGCAATATGGTTTACGAGTTGTGCTAAAAAACTGATTGTTGTCCATTCACATTCCAGTTATTTGTATCACAGCAGTAGAGAAAGGAGAGCGCAAGGCCCGAAGCGTCTGAACTAGACACGGCACAATCTTCAGTCAAAGCACAGAGACAGATGCAGGGGGAGGCGAGGATGAGGGTGAGGGTGAGGGGCTGTGAGGGAGACGGAGTGTGCTGTGAATTTAGAACAGAGAGGGAGGGATGCAGAAAACTCGGCGGCGGCGGCGGGGCGAGCGAGGAGGTGGTGATCAAGCCATGATCAGATCAAAACCCTAAAGTGAAACGTGTAACTATCCCACTGCAGGGCTTCATGTTGAGGTTATTGCTTAAATCACATTACACTTGTGTCCATTTGTTCTCTGAGTACGCTGTGGTAAAGCTTCTACCTGTATTTCTGTACAGCAGCTGCCCTGGGACACATGGCTTCCAATCTGCGCCATTCCCCCCCTTCTCCCTCATATATTCACCAGACTTAACCAGCTTCCACACTGCAGGTCTGACTGAGGGCTTAAAGATCAGAAGATTTACTTAAAACTTATCTCACCCCCAAAAATACTCCAGTCAATACTCAACATCTATATTAAAGACTGTAAATACATGGTCATAATAAACAATGGTATCACACAATAAACGGACCAATAAGAAACTGCGAACTTACAGTATCTGTATGTCTAATGTTAAAATGGTAGATAATGAGAAATAGATGCCCTTATGGAGTCCATGCATCTAGTATTTTATGTGGATATATGTAAATCTCGTCTCTGTTGCAGGTAGATGGGTTTGTGGCCCTTCTTTCAAACTCTCAAACTCACCTTTTGAAACCAAGACATCCGTGGAGTTTATGTGATAACTGAACCATGTCCATTACGGAGGACCAAAACCAATAAATTAATGAATAGAAGTCCGCACTGGCAAATAATGATGAAGATGGTCCTGCAAAGTCTGAGATGAATATATTAGCATTATTAAAGTGTTAAGCGCTAAAAGAAAGTAATGCACTTTTCTATCATTCATTTGTTTTATTCTTTGATGTGATAATTTCCATTTGTTTTATTTATTTCCACTTTTGCATTTGTGCTCTGCTTTAATTATATGCCCAATAATAATAATTAAAAAAAAATCTGCAAAAATAAAGTAATGAATTAATAAAGCAGGCAGAAAAACATTCATGGAGAGTGAAAAAAAGAGCAAAAACATGAAATAAAATAATTAAAAGATTAAATTAATAAATGCAGACAGAAATGAAGGATTTTTTCAGTTTTTACCACAAAACAGAAGTTTAAAATAATGTTTTTGTTCATCTCAAGTTTGTTAGTGACATCTTTGCCAATGAGGACGTCGATCTATCCATCCATTCATTTCAGTTCATTCTCAAAGTCTACCGCTCAAACTGCCCTTCAGACATAACAAAAAGAGAGTTTATTTGGCAGCAAGACAGAAGCGTCTCTGGGTCAGCGCTCACGGGTCAGCGCTCACGGGTCAGCGCTCACGGGTCAGCGCTCACGGGTCAGCGCTCACGGGTCAGCGCTCACGGCCACATCCCAGATCCAAGAGTCAAACCGGCGGTGACACAATCATAAAGCGCGTCAGTAATAAACAAAACAGCGAGGAGCGTGCGCAAGAGGGAGGCGGACAGGGAGAGGAAGGCGGCGGCGGTCACGGCGGAGCAACACAGGACCCGGCGCTCCGAGGCTTTGGAGTCAGAACCGGCCAGATCCAAACCGGCCAGATCCAAACCGGCCAGATCCAAACCGGCCAAGCCTCAAAACAACCAGAAACAAAGAACCATGCTGTCCTCACGAGCTGCTGTGTTCATCCGTCTGCATCGGACTCATCCCGGACTCATCCCGGACTCATCCCGGACTCATCCCGGACTCATCCCGGACTCATCCCGGACTCATCCCGGACTCATCCCGGACTCATCCCGGACTCATCCCGGACTCATCCCGGACTCATCCCGTGTAAAAGTGTGATGTCATAGAGGTGCGATGACATCATAGTAGCACAGGACTGAGACAGGAGCTTTTGTATTGTGTGTTTGGGGAGAATATATTTAAGATACGGAATGCTGATTTACTGCTTTAATATTTATTTTGTAATTTATTATGATACATGGTCCTATCAGAGTACTGTATTCTAAAAATCCTGGAATACATTTAGCTCATTTGCATAATGTTATAGTGCGATTAAAACACCATTTTATCCATGTTCAGTTATTTTGATACATGAAAACTGACATAATAGTAGCTGAAGTAGTACTGTAGTTGAAGTAGTATTAGTAGAAGTAGTTAGTAAGTCGTAATACTGGATAGTAGCATTAATACTAGTAGTAAGTTGTATTAGTAGTAGTAGTAGTAGGCGGCACGGTGGCTGAGTGGATAGCACTCTCGCCTCTCAGCAAGAAGGTCCTGGGTTTGAATCCCGGCCGGACCAGGGCCTTTCTGAGTGGAGTTTGCATGTTCTCTCCGTGTCTGCGTAGGTTTCCTCCGGGTACTCCGGTTTCCCCTACCACTAAAAACATGTACAATAGTTCTGGCATGCGCCTCCTGTACTGGCGACCCCGCTCCCATCTCTGTGTGGAGTGAGAGACAAATGCCCAAAAATAATAACAATTGTAAACCGCTTTGTGACTCTGGTTTGTGAAAGGCGGTATATAAATAAAGATTACTTACTACTACTACTACTACTAGTAACTAGTTGCAGTAGCAGTGGTAGTACTAGTAGTAGTAAGTAGTGGTAGTAGTAGGAAAACTAGTGGTAGTAAGTATTAGAACAGTGTTTTGTAAAGTCACATGGTCAAAAACATGTATGATTGTCGTTTTGTAGATTTGAGTCATTTGCATCAGATTTGAATCAGATTTGAATCAGATTTGTATCAGATTTGTATCAGATTTGAATCAGATTTGTATCAGATTTGAATCAGATTTGTATCAGATTTGTATCAGATTTGAATCAGATTTGTATCAGATTTGTATCAGATTTGTATCAGATTTGCTTTGCCGTCCATTATCAGTAAACTGAAGATGAAATAAAGGTTATCCGGTCACAGTTGCAGCCCTGTCCTCTCTGAAGCTGCTGGATCATGGATAGTCGTCATTTCAAATACTGGTTTACTGCAGACATTAGTTTATGGTTTCACTGTGCTTGGTCCAAGGGCAGTCGCAGTCTAATCCTGGTTCTACTGTTGTGCGCCTGTATATCTGTACAGGAGGTCTCTGAACAATCTGACCCTGGAGAAAACTATAGAAAGAAGAAATCGTGCTCTGGTCTAAAGATCTTATTTCTGTTTGCACACAGCAGAGAGCCGCGGCACAAAACACACTGCAACACCTCAAACTATGGACTATAGGAGAAAACCCAAGGCCACACCTGTTTGTTCACCTGAGATTATATTTGTATTTATTGGTTGCATGTTCTAATAGTTTAACTTCTGTTCTTTAAGTATTTTCAACTGTTTAACACGTTTAAGCCTTTGGAATATTCTATGGTCAAGCAGATTTTCTCCCACTGCATCTTAAAGGAGACATGGAATGTTAAAAACTAATTCAGGGGAAATACTTTTGTTTAAAGGGCTAGAAAAGTGCAGTGAGTGTGATGTCATAGCGGTACAATGACATCATACTATTACATCACTGAGACAGGAGACTTTAGACAGAAGGGGTTCCTGATAACAGCACAAATGAATAAATAAGTCTGTTTTTGATGAGGGAACAATGTTGCAACATGGTAAATAGCCATTTTTCATAATATGTTTAAGATTATATACTGGGACAAACAACATGTATTTAAGAAACAAAACAAAAGGTTCCCTGGCTTTAAAAGGCTGCACCGTCAGGATGAACCGGATAATGGCCTCTGTTTGGGGACTGTTTGGGCTCTTCACAGGCCTACCACTGTCCTATGCAAATCCATGAACACAACTCCATCACTAACACAGCAGCGTTTCTGAGACAACAATCACGAAAGAGGAGAAGGGGCCGTGTGCTCCGTCGAGGACAGAGCAGGAGCATGAGCGAAAGAGGAGGAGGAGGAGGAGGAGGAGGAGGTGATGGAGCAGGAAGGCACAGGTCAAAGGAACGGCAGGTGAAGGGAAGGGGTCAGTGCTTTTTTTGCTTTGGTTTTTGGCTGTTTTTGTTTTACCTTGAAGGCTCGAAGACACAGAGAGAGGAACTGTGGATGCGCCGCGCTAAACACCGTCCCCGCCGGCTCACGCTTCCCGACGCTGGCACCTATTTCAGTTGAGATAGTTAGTCAGATCTAGACTGTGTGGCTGAGTTCACCGTTTGTGTTTTGCTGGAGTGGTTACAGAGAGTAGAAACACATGCAGGTATAGGTTGAAGAGTGCGTTGACACAGAGGAAACACGGAAAAAAGGTAGAGAATGGGTGCGCAGAGGGAGACCAGACCAGACCAAACCAGATGGGACGACCCAGACCCGGACCCGGACTAGAGCTTGACAGAAAAAAAAGCCCCACAGATCAAAATGTAGCCATTCTATCTGTGCGCCTCTCACCAGCTCGCAACACCAACTCATTATGCTGTGTTCTCCCCAAATTGTCCCATATTGTCACAAATGTGATTGAGTTCAGAATTTTTTTAACGGCTGGAGAGAGAGAGAAATATATATATATATATATATATATATATATAAGAGCACCAACCAGACCCGACTAAAGTGGGCAGAGCTGGGGTAGCATCCGCACCTGTGTCCCCCTGGATCCCCAGTCAAAAAAGAGGCTGGTATAAAATGTACTCAGGAGAAACAGAGAGTGCAGAGAGGAAGAGGAAGAACGGGAAATGTCCAAACCCTTGCATTCGTTACCACAGTAGTCAGCCAAACATTCTTTATTACCGATATAATAATAATAATAATAATGATTGTAGTATACATATTCTCAATAAAAAGCATGCCGGATTTTGTTCTTTTCCTAAAAAAAAAAAAAAAAAAAGAAAGATTAAATACTTTTCTAAAAATACGGTCTTAACATGGCAAACAAGACATTTCGCAAACCACATATTTCTACAAAGGATGCAACTGGTATGCGTTGGTATATAGGACACACAAAGGTTACACTGCGAGATGCAAAAGTCACTTAGCCACTAAAACCACAAGGGGAAGGGAAGGGAACGTCCGTGTGCCTTCAGACCACTGTCAAAAAGTCTTGCAAAAAATATTTCTCCATTTAATGAATTAGGAATTAAAATCTTCCAAGGAGAACTAGACAAATGAGATATGCCCCAAAAACGGAGTGAATGAAGAAGTGAGGCTCACAAAAAGAGGCACAACTCAATTGTCTGGTTTTTGCAATTCCGATTTGAAGCATGTCTGATAAAGAGGGAGACTTGGAGCAACTCAAAGACACTGCCCCATCTCTCACATCATTGGTGCTATCACTGTTTGCTCATGTGAACCTTTAAGGCTCAATTGTGGCTTTTCAAACCGATTACATGAAGATAAACAAGTGCAAGAACATAGGAAATCTCCCCGGTACATTATTTTTAAAAATGATTAGTAAAGTAAAAAGCACTTAAAATGGGAGAACCCTCCGCTTAATGCACTTCTCTCAAAGCTTATAGGCACATAGTTCTATAGAGGATGCTTTGTAAACAGCTCCATCCATAGTCACACAGGGGCATTGTACAATTACTGCACCCCAGACTGACTCGTAAACTACATTTAAAACAAACATATGTAATACTTTAAAAAGGCATCTGAATATGTAGGACTTACATAATGTGTACAGTCATTGTCCTCCCAAACTAAAGCAGTGACTCGGCAGCTTCAGGACCAGAGCTGCTGACTGGGTAAAGAGGATGTGAAGGGGACTGTCAGAGGTAGGCAGCTGTAATGAGAGGTGAGGCAGTGTCTGTCAGAGGAGAGGGGTAGGAAAGGAGCGCTCATACATTACAGTACGTTTAACGTGTGCTTCGCTATCAGCAAGCCACAGTTGTAGCTGCTGCGTTTGTGCACTGCAAGGTCAGGAGCTCATTCAGTCAGACTACAACAACTTTACATTCAACAGACACCTCCAAAGTCAAAGCCTGGTTCTGCTGGCCACGCCACAGTGCAGCCAGTGCACCGCTCAGGACTCTGTCTGGTACATGAAAGATACAAGTAACCACTCAACATAAGGCAAAAGGCTGCAACATAGCTGCCCTAAATGATTATCTAGGACTAAATAGAATAGCTGAAACATTGTTTTGAATTTTGGCCCTAGAAAATCATAACTGAGTTGCAGAAAAAAGGCAATTAATGTTCAATACTGGCACAATGTGAGACTGGCACTGTAAAGTAAATGATAAATGCCCATAAACAGACAAGAGTCGTCTACTGCGGCTGCACTGTGAGTCTGCAAACAGAACCGGCTGTAGCCCTCTTAAAGCAGGTTAATACAACCAAGAAGCCCCAGGTCTGACCCGCCCCACGCTGGAGCCCAGACACAGACACATTCACTCGTACAGCTGCTGAGGGTGGTGAGGGCAGACGGGGTGTGGGAGAGGGCAGTGCGACTATCGGAAGGGGGGCTCAGGCGTGTGAAGGGAGAGTTCGGGGCGGCGGAGGATGGCCTCCTTGCGCGTGGGCGGCGGCAACGGCGGCTCATACACCCTGGGCGCAGCCATGGCGGCAGCCACCGCCGCGGCTGTGGGAACCACTGGCCTGAGAGCGTCCAGCGCAGCCACAGGCTGAGCAGTCATCGCGGGGACAGCAGTCATTCCAGCCATCCCGGCCAACCCAGGAAGAGCAGCCATGGCACCGGGAGGGTAGAACTGGAACTGAGGGTACTGCTGCAGCTGCTGGTAGTACTCGGCATAGTACCTAGGACAAGAGGAGGAGCGGGAAAACCAGCACAGCAGTTTACAACAAACCAACACAGCAGTGTACGACAAAAAAGCACATAGTGACATGATGGAGAGGGAGGGCGTGTCTGTACCTGGCCATGGGGTCCTCTGCCACCTCCACTGCCTCTTCTGCAGCACGGCCTGATGGTGTGGGCAGCAACGGTCGCCGAGGCTTCACCCTCTGGTATATGAAGGGTTTGATGACTGGATCTGGCAACAGAGGGGCCGACCTCCTCAAGGGGCTGCGGTCCCTCTCTCCAGACTTTGCTGCAGCTGCCGCTGCCGCAGCAGCCACCACTGCATTCTGCTGTTCAGCCACGACCTGCTGGCCCTGGGTGAAGTAGTGTACCTGCCTCGCGGCTTCGAATAAGGCTGCTGTAGGGTCCACTCCCATGGCACTGAGGTGGGCGTAGGCTGGAGCAGCGGCGCTGTAAAGGCCTGGAGCCATAGTAAAAGCAGGGTTTAGAGCGGCAGCTGCAGTCTGCATATCCAGCCCGTGGGCATGGGTCAGGTAGACGTGCCCGTTGGCCATGGTCGGGGTGTAAACTGGGGTGGAGTAGGCAGCAGCGGCTGCAGCAGCCGCAGCAGCAGGTGTAGTAGCAACCTGTCCATATATATTAGGGGCGACTGAGCTGTAGACCTGGGTAGCACCAGTTGCCAACCCTGCCTGGTTGGCAACTGTACCATAAATCTGACTGGCAACATTAGCACCATACACCTGGCTGGCCAGGGCCCCGTACACAGCAGGGTTCACCGGGTTCCCGTCAGTGCGGTTGCCAGTAGTGATCCCAGTGAGCGCGGCATACGTGGGGTCAAACGTAGAAGTGTTGTAGACCGAGTTGTGCACACTTTGTTGGACCTGCAGAGGTAGACCGGCAGCCGCAGCAGCTGCAGCAGCCAGAACAGCAGCTTGACTTTGATACTGCTCAAGAGAGGGCTTCCCCACCGGACATTCGCCAGCGTAGTGGCCCTGTTTACCACAGTTCACACACGGGATCTTTCCAGTGGGCGTTTGTTTGCTGGGCTGCACTTTGGACAGTTCCACAGACAGAGGGCGGCCCTTAAAGGATGTGCCATGAAGCGCTTCTATGGCCTGTAGTGCATCTTCCTTGTTTTCCATGTGAACGAAGGCATAGCCTGAGGAAAAACACAAGCAACGGTTTGGGGACCACATAGTTAGGTTAAAACCATTGATCTTTCGGTTATAATATAACTTATATATAAATAAAAAGGCAATGTTACCTTTGACTTTATCACATTCCAGCACCTTCCCAAACGTCTGAAAGAGCTGCTGCAGGTCCTCTGTGGTGCACATGCCGCTCAGATTACCCACAAACACTTTGGTGGAGTGTAACGGACGCCCCCTGGATTCCTCCACCACCAGGTTTCTGCCCCGGAACTCGCGGCCGTTGAGCTCGCGGATAGCTCGTTCGGCCGCCCCATCGCCCTGCAAGTGCACGAAGGCAAACTGTCGCAGCACACTACAGCTGACCACCTGGCCATAGGGCTCAAAGATGGCCGACAGCTCCTCCTGGGTCGTGTCTAGCGCCAAGTTGCCCACAAAGAGCTTCACTGTGTGGCTCTTGTCCATGGCGCTGCAAATAAATCCAAACATGTTGTTAAGAGATAAGGCAGAGGCCAGAGTAAGTACAGCCTGCATCAGACGTGACAAGCACTCAGTCACCACTCCTCTTCTGAGAGAGAGTGATTAGGGCTGAAGGCGTTACGCAACTCTGGACAACATGCAGCGGCGTCCGTTTACCCGCCGTGGGACTTTACCCTTTTCCATCGGTGATTGTCAACATTGCCATTGATTGATTGCTGTATTTGGTCTTTTTACACAATCTCTGACCACAGCTGATAACAGAAGGACTTTGAATGCTCTAAAATTAGCCAACATGCAGGGCTCACACTTTTTATTATTTCGTCTAAAATCAAGCTTGATGTTGACTTGGTTCGGCCTGGTCTAGCCCTGCTTTGTTTCACCTATCCGTGATCCAATTCTGGTTTAGCTTTGAGCTTACACACCCAAGCTTTTCTAGCTTATTTGACTACCTTTTTAAATTGGCCTATTCAGTGTGATATTTTTAAATATAATTTCATCTGCAACATTGATTGATTGGTTGTTTTTTATTTGGCCGTTACATCCACCAATTTACAGTTCAATCGATATGAATGAATATGATACATGAATTGCAACCAAAACAGGAATAGGTAGAAGCTTATTCGAGCACATCCTGTTCTCTGTATTTTGTGTGATGTAATTGTAAGACGTCCTTACGGCTCATATACTTATTATTATTATTCATTTCACAGTCATACTAGATATTGACAACTTCGTAAAGACCTCCAAGATTACTACTGTTGAGATATATGGCTACACAAAAATACATTGAATTGAAGTGAATAGACACTGCTGTGGACTTGAATAATGCCATTTGGGCACACAACGTTCTGATTCACACAACTGATTATGAAATGAACCTATGACCGACCATGGGGACGTTAAACTATATCTGAACACTTTATGGGTTAGTGTTAGGGTTGGTGGGTGAAGCAACACCTTTCTCTGCTGTAAATCAAAGGCCAAAAAAGAACATGACACCACACATCGAGGCTATTTTTTGGCTCCAAGCAGCTGCACCTATGCACACACGCCCCATACTGTATGTGTGTGTCTCTGTGTGTGTGTCCGTGTATGTCTGTCTGTGTGTGTCTGTGTGTATGTGTCTGTGTATGTCTGTCTGTGTGTGTCCGTGTATGTCTGTCTGTGTGTCTGTGTCTGTGTCTGTGTATGTCTGTCTGTGTCTGTCTATGTGTGTCTGTGTATGTCTGTGTGTGTGCGTGTCCATGTATGTCTATTCTGTGTCTGCATGTCTGTGTGTGTGTGCCTCTGTGTGTCTCAGTGTATGTCTGTGTGTGTGCGTGTCCATGTAGGTCTATTCTGTGTCTGTATGTCTGTGTGTGTGTCTCTGTGTGTGTGTCCGTGTATGTCTGTCTGTGTCTGTGTGTGTGTATGTCTGTGTGTATGTGTCTGTGTGTATGTCTGTCTGTATGTGTATGTGTATGTCTGTCTGTGTATGTATGTGTGTCTGTGTGTATGCCTGTCTGTGTCTGTGTGTGTCCGTGTATGTCTGTCTGTGTGTCTGTGTCTGTGTATGTCTGTGTATGTTTGTCTTTGTGTGTCTGTGTATGTCTGTGTGTGTGCGTGTCCATGTATGTCTATTCTGTGTCTGTATGTCTGTGTGTGTGTGTGTGTCTCTGTGTGTGTGTCAGTGTATGTCTGTGTGTGTGTGTCTATGGGGTGGGCTTTTACATATGGCTGCAGAATTCGGGTTAAATCCAGGCATAACACAAAATGATGACGCAGCACCACATAGCTCCAGTCATGATTTCGGACGCGGTGTTTTTTTGTTTTAAGAGACACACAAAATGACGCGTATTATCAACATGACATTTCTCTGCGACGCGCTCGTACATGGCGTGGGAGAAGGGGAGAAAGACGGGTTCGATGATGCTATATTACCAAAACACAAGAAGCCCTAAGGCAAAGAACACACACAACACACTCCGTTATCTCGCTGCGGAAACGCGTTAAAGCCGATCCAAGTCCGATGTTTTTACGCACTAACAATAGCGGACAGTGTGGATAAAGCCATATGGACAATCACGTTTTTTGCGCAGAGGAGTGGATACAGTGTGGCACCCAGTCCACGGACGAGGCGGAACAACGCGTCCAAAACCCGTTACGCACGGACTCGGCTCGGACCGCGCGCGATCGGTGACATCTGCGCCAGTTTTAGGAGCGAGGGGCAAAGATTTGATAAAGAAATTCTACCGTCTTACCTAGGCTTTGCTGTGTTTCAAAATGGTAGCGCCTGCTTCCGTTTGGTCGTCGGGCATTCTGTTGGGAAGGCAGAGGGGGGAGGGCTGCTCACGGGGAGGATGCTGCTGTCCCCCCCCCTCACAAAAAAATAAATTACACCCGAAAGTCCCTGGGTATGCAGAGAGTGTCACCCCTTTTAAAGCCTCCTTTCAGATACGCTCTCTTTATTCAAGGCTGGGTTTAAAACAGTCCTCTTTAGTTTAGCATATGGCTAGGAAGGTAAGACTCGGAGAAGGTTAAACTCCTCAGACTGTCAGTCAAGCTGCATAGGGCGCCCCCTGCTGGAGAAGTATGGTAACTTGAGCACTATCCTCTCCTCCTTCCTACTTTACCTGTTTAGCATTTTTAGGATTCTGACTGTAGTTTGTTCATTGCTATTCACCCGTTGTCCCATTGTCTGTTTCATGGTACGATGACGGGATCTCTGAGCCTGGCCTCTTCCATCTACACCTGCGGACTGCCCCGCCCGACCCGCCTGGGAGTGCTTTGGTCCTGCACCGGACCTGTCCACGTTCAGCGTCCACTGGTCCACGTTCTGTAGCTAGCTTAGGTCCTAGATCATTAGCCTGTCCGTCCGGAGGAGCGGATCCCTTTCTCATATGGGTCTCCCTCCCTGTGGGTTTCCCTAGTTCTCCCCAAGGTTTCTCACTTTTTCCCACTGGGTTTTTTAAGAGTTGTTCCTTGTGGATGCAGGAGGGTCTTGTTGGACAGTTAGTGTCCAACAGAAAGGATTGGTGATGATCAGGACACTTTAGCATTCTACAACATGTATGGACATTTTCTTCTGTGTGTGCTTTATATTCTTCATGTGTTTTAACTGTTGATTCTCTGACCTGTGTTGGTGATTTCAATGGTTTTGTTAAGTCTCTGAGATGACTTCTGTTGTGACCTAGGGCTATACAAGAATAAATTGTATTGTGTAAAGCTCGGGTGTGTAACTTTTCGGTGTTGCTGAATGAGTCTTGTGAAAGGAAAATGTGAACAAATGAGATCACGACATTGTATGCTCTCAAACATGTAATAGTTTGCATTTTTGTGACAGCGAGCCTTGTGAGTCACTATTTGACTTCAGGCTTCAAACATAAAGATATAAAAATTAAATGTTTTGTCAAGAATCAACAAGTGGGACACAATCGTGAAGTGGAACAAAATTTATTGGATAATTAAAACTTTTTGAACAAATAAAAAACTGAAAAGTGGGGCGTGCAATATTATTCGGCCCCTTGCGCTAATACTTTGTAGCGCCACCTTTTGCTGCAATTACAGCTGCAAGTCGCTTGGGGTATGTCTCTATCAGTTTTGCACATCGAGAGACTGGATTTCTTGCCCATTCTTCCTTGCAAAACAGCTGGAGCTCAGTGAGGTTGGATGGAGAGCGTTTGTGAACAGCAGTCTTCAGCTCTTTCCACAGATTCTCGATTGGATTCAGGTCTGGACTTTGACTTGGCCATTCTAACACCTGGATACGTCTATTTGTGAACCATTCCATTGTAGATTTGGCTTTATGTTTTGGATCATTGTCCTGTTGGAAGATAAATCTCCGTCCCAGTCTCAGGTCTTTTGCAGACTCCAACAGGTTTTCTTCCAGAATGGTCCTGTATTTGGCTCCATCCATCTTCCCATCAATTTAGAATGGGAGGTGGCGCTGCGCAAGTGGCGACAAGCAGTGGTGGTGCGCTCTTTTAACTTGGTTTCTTACTGCTTTTAACGTACATGTATGGACAATCGGGGCAACATACAGCCTGTCAAGTGATGCTTGTGCATCTTGCAAACGTTGGAGAGCATTACTTTCCTCTGGATTACGTGGGGTTTGTTACATTACGCTGTGGAACACTTACGACCTGGCTCTTAAACAAGTGCCATGGTCCTGTACTCCCAAGACTTTTTACTCAACCGGAGAGGTTCCAATGTGCCGCTGTCGGACATATTAACAGATACTCTGTCTTCAGTGGGCATCTACAGTGATCCTAAGGATTATTGTGAAATAAAGAATGATAAACCATGGAAACGCGGAAGCCGGGGAGGAGTCAGACGCAGACTCAAGCGCCTGGGATTCCGCCGTACACCACTCCCATCTATTATTCTACGCAACGCTCAGTCCATCAGGAATAAGATGGATGAACTGCACGCCAACGTTGTCCACCAGGAGAAGTTCAAAAATGCGTGCATTCTGGCCTTCAGTGAGACTTGGATCACGTCTGCAGATTCAGAGATGGATTTATCGCTGCCTGGTTTTGGTGCGCCAATTCGCTTGGACAGAGATCCTGACGTCACGGGGAAATCCCAAGAAGGCGGGGTATGCTTCTTTATCAACCAGCGGTGGTGTAACAACTTCACAGTGAAAGAATCACTGTGCACTGAAGACATAGAACTTCTATCAATTTCTGTGCGCCTGTGCTCTGACTGCCACCCCCCCGACCCAGAAATGGATTAAGGGGAAGAAAATGGATGGATGGATGGATGGTCTATATACACCCAAGGCCAATGCTAAAAATGCAGTGTCAACAATTCATAAGGTCACAGATAAACTCTTGTCCCACTGTCCCGATGCCCCATGCCTGGTGTTAGGAGATTTTAATCATTGTAACCTAAAGTGTATGAATAGTTTTTATCAGTACATTTCTTGTCCAACCAGACACAACAAAACCATCGATTTATGCTATGGCAACATAAAGGGAGCCTACAAGTCTACTGCCTTGTCTCCTCTTGGGTCTTCAGACCACAATTCTGTGTTCCTGAGCCCCAGCTACAGATCACTCTTGAAAAGAGGAAAGAAAGTGGTCAAAAAAGTAGAGACGTGGAGCACCAGTGCTATTGATGAACTGAAGGGAGCACTGGAGACAACAGACTGGAGTGTCTTTGTCTCCTCCGATCTTGATGAGTGGACAGTTGTTGTCTCTTCCTATGTGAACTATTTCAAAGACAGCATCATACCAGTTAGGGAAGTCAAAGTCTTTCCTAATAACAAGCCCTGGTTTAACAGAGATGCTCGAGAGGCCCTACATAGGAAACACATTGCTTTCCTCCATGGGGATGCAAATGAATATAGGGAGGCCAAGAAAGAAGCCAAAGTGGTAATACCAAAAGCCCAACTTCAATATAAAAATAAGATTGAGGCTAAATTCCACAGCAATGAAATGAAAGCGGTGTGGGATGGCATGAAAGCTATGACGGGTCAGTCAAAAAGAAAAACTGAGAACATCTCTATTGAGGGTCTAAAAGACAGTGCAGAGAGTGCAAATGCTTTTAATTACTTTTATTTAAGGTTTAATACTGACACTGCTCTCTCAAATGCACAAATAGATGCTACTAGGGAGATACTGAGTGATCACATGGCATCACTTGCTCTCAACGTTAGTGCATCAGATGTCAAAGGCATTTTTTTAAAATGCAACTGGAGGAAGAGTCCAGGTTCTGATCTGATCACTGGGAAACTCTTGAAGTCCTGTGCTGACCAGCTTTGTGACGGTTTTAGTGACATTTAAACTGCTCTCTCTCACAGCACAAAGTTCCATCACTGTGGAAAGAGTCAGTGATCGTGCCAGTGGCAAAAACAAAGTCTCCACGAGAGCTTAACGACTTTCGGCAGGTCGCTCTGACTTCACTAGTAATGAATAGCTTTGAACGTCTAGTGAAGGAGTTTTTAACAACAGAAGTTCAGGAGAGACTGGACCCCATGCAGTTTGCATATCGCGACAGGAGAGGAGTGGAGGACGCAACCGTTACCTTGTTCCACCTGGTCTCCAAGCATCTGGAAGGCTGCAGGACTCAAGCTCGGCTGCTATTTGCTGATTTCTCTTCTGCTTTTAATACTATTCAGCCACATATTTTATTTTCTAAATTATTGGCTGATTTTAGTCTGAATCCAAACTTGGTGAAGTGGATTGATGACTTTTTAACACGCAGGCCGCAGAGAGTTCGAGTGAATGGAATAATGTCTGAGAAAAAAAGAGTCATCCATAGGATCTCCACAAGGGTGCGTCTTCTCACCCCTTCTGTACATACTCTACACAAATGACTGTCAGAGCAAGCATCCAAACAGACATTTGTTGAAGTTTGCAGATGACACAGTCCTGGTCAGTCTGCTGCAGGATGGAGAAGTGGAGCATGGACCAGTCATGGAGGACTTTGTCCAGTGGTGTGACAGGCACGTCCTCACTCTGAATGTGAAGAAGACTAAAGAAATGGTCCTTAACTTTGGGAAGGCTCCACAACTCTCACTGCCCCCAACTGTCATCCACAGCTGTGCAGTGGAGACAGTGGAGTCATACAAGTATCTGGGAACCATCATAGACAACCGTCTGAGGTTTGATGAGAACAAATCTCCCAAATCTGCAAAAAAGGGGCACAACGAATGTACTTTTTACGCAGACTAAAGTTTTTTGATGTGGACAAGTCCCTGATTATGCTTTTTTATAAGTCCTTTATCGAGTCTGTTCTGTCCTTCTGTTTAGTTTCCTTTTACGGAAACTAAACTGTCTGTCTGTCTGTTTTGGACTGTCTGTCCAAAACAGAAGTCGCATGGGAAAAATTGTGTCTGAGGCCAATCGTATAATTGGCCAACAACAAATGTCTCTGACACAAATATATGAAAGACAGGTGCTGAACAAAGTTCAGTCTGTTTTGTCCATCTGTGACCACCCCCTGAGGTTGGAGTTCAAACTGCTCCCCTCTGGGAGAAGATATTGGCTTCCCAGGGCTAGAACAAATCGTTTCAAATGTTCATTTGTGGTCTCCGCAGTTAATCTGTTGAACAGACAATTTTAAAGATCTAGGCATGCTTCCTCTTGATTATGTTGTGATGTTCCCTGATATGTGCCATACTCACTGAGATCTTTGTATTATTGTATTGTATTGCTATTTGTATTGCTCCACCACATGCAAACAATTTTCCCCTTGGGGACAATAAAGTTTTTGAGTTGAGTTGAGTTCCCTGTCCCTGCTGAAGAAAAGCAGATCCAAAGCATGATGCTGCCACCACCATGTTTGACAGTGGGGATGGTGTGTTCAGGGTGATGAGCTGTGTTGTTTTTACGCCAAACATATCGTTTTGCATTGTGGCCAAAAAGTTTGATTTTGGTTTCATCTGACCAGAGCACCTTCTTCCACATGTTTGGTGTGTCTCCCAGGTGGCTTGTGGCAAACTTTAAACGAGACTTTTTATGGATATCTTTGAGAAATGGCTTTCTTCTTGCCACTCTTCCATAAAGGCCAGATTTGTGCAGTGCACGACTGATTGTTGTCCTATGGACAGACTCTCCCACCTCAGCTGTAGTTATCTGCAGTTCATCCAGAGTGATCATGGGCCTCTTGGCTGCATCTCTGATCAGTCTTCTCCTTGTTTGAGATGAAAGTTTGGAGGGACGGCCGGGTCTTGGTAGATTTGCAGTGGTCTGATACTCCTTCCATTTCAATATAATTGCTTGCACAGTGCTCCTTGAGATGTTTAAAGCTTGGGAAATCTTTTTGTATCCAAATCCGGCTTTAAACTTCTCCACAACAGTATCTCGGACCTGCCTGGTGTGTTCCTTTGTCTTCATGGTTCTCTCTGTGCTTTAAACAGAACCCTGAGACTATCAAAGAGCAGGTGCATTTATACGGAGACTTGATTACACACAGGTGCATTCTATTTATCATCATCAGTCATTTAGGACAACATTGGATCATTCAAAGATCCTCACTGAACTTCTGGACTGAGTTTGCTGCACTGAAAGTAAAGGGGCCAAATAATAGTGCACGCCCCACTTTTCAGTTTTTTATTTGTTAAAAAAGTTTAAATTATCCAATAAATTTCGTTCAACTTCACGATTGTGTCCCACTTGTTGTTGATTCATGACAAAAAATTAAAATGTTATATCTTTATTTTTGAAGCCTGAAATGTGGCACGGTGGCTGAGTGGATAGCACTCTCGCCTCTCAGCAAGAAGGTCCTGGGTTCGAATCCCGGTTGGACCAGGGCTTTTCTGAGTGGAGTTTGCATGTTCTCCCCGTGTCTGCGTAGGTTTCCTCTGGGTGCTCCGGTTTCCCCTACCACTAAAAATATGTACAATACGTCTGGCATGTGCCTCCTGTACTGGCCCCACTCACAAAAAATCACAATTGTAAACCGCTTTGAGAATAAATAAATAAATAAATAAAGATTACTACTATTACTGTTTTGTTTGGACAAAGCTGTAAATGCAAGTTAAAAAAAACTAGTGATGGAACCAAACTGTTTATTTTGTTTACATTGTTAAAATGTTGTGGTTAAAAAGTAAGTTACCCAGTTTGAAAAAGGTGAATACATAAAGTCACTCATAATTGTTTTGAGCCTAACCCTTATGTCTTAGGACCTAAGACTTAGGTAACTCTTAAAACAATGACCTAAGACATATTTGTTTGTTTTCCCTAAAGTGTTTTTCTTTGATAGATTGCTGTTTGAATAATAAATGTTCCCCATGTTATTAAAAGGTTCGAAGGCTTTCCCCATATTTTAGGAAAGAATGATTGACAATGAGGAGGCCCAATAGTCTTGATGATCCACCCGGACGTAGAAAATCCTAAATACTTTTCAGGAAGAGTAGGAGTGGTACTTGTACAGTTATAGCATCTCATTATAACGTCACAATAGCAAGAAGGTCCTGGGTTTGAATCCCAGTCGGACCAACTCCTCTCTGAGTGGAGTTTGCATGTTCTATCCATATCTATTTAGGTTTTCTCCAGGTGCTCCGGATGTACAATTGTGAAAATCCGCCAGAATCCAAATATGGAAATGGGTCCAATGAAGGAAAGTTGCCGACGGGGACATCCATCCATCCATCCATTTTCTACCCTTTAATCCATTTCTGGGTCAGGGGGGTGGCAGTCAGAGATACCACCCAAGTCTCATAGCACCAGCCCCTCACTGACCCTCTGCAGGTGGTGAGTCCACAGGAGGACGGCTGCTCTCTGACTGTGAGCATAGCCTTGATCTTTCAGTGGGGGCTTTGGGCAAAGTGGGGTTAAGTGTCTTGCCCAAGGACACAACGACAGCAGTCATCAGTGGGAGTCGGTGGAGAAGGTGTGGAGGTGGGAATTGAACCCACGACCTTCAGGCCTGAAGGCCAATGCTCTACCAACTGAGACGGGACAATGAAGTATAAAACTCTTTTTGAAACTTGTCTTTCGGTTCATATACTGCATCATACTGCTTCATACTGCTTCATACTGCATCATACTGCATCATATCAATCAATCAATCAATCTTTATTTATAGGGCGCTTTTCCTGCACAGGGCAACACAAAGCGCCTCACAGTCCACACCACACAATGCACAAATCATCACCATTAAAATACAATTAAAAACACATATGTAATTAAAAAGCATTAAAATCACATAAGTAATTTAAAAACATAAGAATCACACAAGTAATTAAAAACAATAAAATAGTTAAAAACACAAAAAGTTACAACAATA